AATTGCTCGAATCTATAATCGAGAACAACACTCTCTATGACCATTAAAACCACTCATTGAGTTCTTTTGCAAATTAATTTTAATTGGATTGACATGCACACATGATTATTACTATAATATCTCGAAAATATAAATTTAATTATATTACATTAATAAAAAATATTTATACGTCAACGATCTCTTGAATAGGTGGTTAAAAGCTTTCAGTTGACATTTTTTTTTACCTTTGATTGTGGTTTGATATGAGCAAAATTCTCCTACCCATCTTCTATGTAGGAATTGTTCAAAAAAATATTATATATGAGTTTTTTTTATAAGACACGAATATAATTCTTATAACGGCATGTCGGTGTAATTTTATTTAAAAAATATATAAATATATGAAAATATAAGGTATTATAATAACAATATTGTAATATTCCAAAAGTTGATTCATGATATTGGAAGCTTAAATCTTGGGTTGATGGTTTAGGGACCAATACCGATTATGATTTCATTTGCCTAAAATTTTAGTATAATGAATTCTTTAGCTTTTCTCCAAAAGTTTCGTTTTTATTAATGAATAAAGAGACGTACATTTAGCAAAATGGAAATCTAGAAAAAATGCAAAGGACATTTTTAAGATATAAATGAGTTCTTCACAGAACAATGGTCCAAAATCTCATATGAATGTTGGATCAAGTAAATGATGATGTTGTATCAATATATTGAAAACGTTTATGTCAAATGGGTAATAGATGATCGGGGGACTCTAAGAAAAGAGCTTGCTCTCACTAATTTTATTAGGATATGGTAGTTGAATTTTATAGGTAAAAGGATATATGAAATCTCTGTTTTTTTATATAAAAAAAAACTAATGTATCCCTAGAATTATTTTTACACTTAACGATATCATCAGAATTAAAAAAAAAGAATTAAATGTAATATTTTGACAAACGATTTTCGACATTGACTGTTACAATGTTAATATGACAATCTTCGATACTGATGTAGTGATCCATGATGGTTGATGACGTGATAGATAGATTAAATTAGTTTTTCTTATTGAGTTCGAGAGCACCGGCGGAACATAAGTGATTTTTTATACTAATTACTATTAAATTATTTTAAAAAGAAATAGATATAATAAGTTTTGATGGGCTCTATCCAATTGAAAAAGAAATTTATTTATTAATTATTAAATATTAATTAAGATTAGGTTATTGTTATTTGTTGAATAAAAAGTAAAAAAAAAATAACTTTTTTACATTAAAATTTAATAAATTTCAATGCAAAAGTAACTTTATTGAGAATCTAAAAGATTTTTATATAATACTTTATAATATTTATTTAATTCAATTTTTAAAAAGTTCATTAAAATATAATTGGAAAGACATTGGGAGGTTAAGATAATTAGAGGTAAATATATAAAATAAAATTTATGTAGGATAAATTAGTTTAGATTTATACAAAAAAATTAGGTTAAATTCGAGGTAAAAATAATAATATATATTTTTTAATTTTTTTAGCAATTTAATCTTTAATTTTGGTATTTTATTATATTTATTTTTTGAATATTTGTATAATTTAAATTAAAATATTTTAAATTTTTTAAAAATAAAATAAGTCCCTGAAATTAAAAAAAAAATTAATTTGATCATTGAACTTAATAAAAAAACTATTTAGCCTATCTGTCACATCACAAGTTATCTTGGACCGCCACGTCAACATCGTAAACCGCCACATCAACACCATGAAATGCCACATCAATATTGTAATGATCAACGACAGAAACCGTTAGTCAAACGATCACGTTGGGTTCTTTTTCTAAGTTTGAGGACCACATCGAATGTAAAAATAGTTAAAAGGCCACATTAATTTTTTTTTAAATGTATTGGCGCTTTATATACCTTTTTGTCAATTTTATATTATGACAAAACATTTTGCATGTAAGTGGTATTGTTATTACTTGAAGATATCAACTTTTTGCTTAAAAAGATTTGTCTACTAAAAGAACTAAAACGTAGGTGCTAGGAAAACAATGACAAATCAGAATTTTGTTCTACCTAGCTTAGCACTTCACTTTTCATATATCTAGCAAGTAAAAACCTCCTTCACTTACTAAATTGTTTCCCAATTTGTTTTAAACTTTTAATATTGAACTAAATTGTTTCTTTTCATATATATATATACATAAATCGAACATGTATACTTTAAACTAATGGTTGAAATGAAATATAAGAGGTCTTGTTATATCAATCAAGGGTGGAGATTTTTTTTTCTAATTTTTTTTCTTTACATGCGAGTGACTTGGATAGATTACTATTATGTATTTTGAACTGTTGTGTTGTGTAAATGGTGTATATGTAAAATCCGAGTAAAAACGAGATCCAAGCAAGTTCAAAAGTAAATAAAAGGTTCATAATTAAGCTTATATTCTACTTCAAATTGGTTTGTTAAGGTAATAAAGATAAATACATTTTGTGTATTTTATATATTAATTATATATGTTTAGGATGAATTGTGACAATTCTATCTATATGGTAAATGTTAAATTTATAAGTTATATTATATATAATATTACATGCAAAGCATATATTTATATACATAATGGGTATAAATTGTCCTATTATGATAGATGTTAATATTATGATTAAATAAATAATTTGACATGATCATAAGTACTAAATGTTACAAACTACTATATGTTACAGAGATTTGTATTTATATTGCTCAAGTATATTGGAAGAGAGTTCTAGATATAATAGTATACAATAGAGTTTACGTCTGTATAGATTTCATACTTCGGTATGATACATAATTTCATCCTTTAAAGTAAATATATATTATTTCATCTATTGGAATGATGTACAGTTCCATGCTTTAGTATGATGGATAATACACTCATATACCTTATCCTTTTTAAATTATTTTAGGCGTTTAAAAAAACGAACAAGTTATTCACATGTTACAATCTTTTTTTGTAATTTACAAAAATTAATGAAAAGAGACATTTTATGATTATGTTGTTCAAGAGCAAATGTTGCCTATAGATTATATTTCTGTTTAAATTATGTTTTTATTTTATGTCCCATTAAATTATATATTTAGTGTGTGTTTTGCTTGCACATACATAAGTGGTTCGAAGTGGCATCCGTACCTTTGAGTGGATCTATCGAGTGTCACAATATGTTTTGACACCCTATATGATGTTTCTGCGTATAGTGGCATGTATATTTGATCTACCTATTTATGTTTTGTAAATATCTTTTTCTACATTTCTATGATTATTAGTAAACATTTGGGTTTATAATAATAAATATATGGTTACTAATTTATAGCTATGCATATTTAGCTTATTTTGCTAAGAAATATGAATGCATTAACAATATTAACACTGAGTATAAATAAATAAATAGATCCATTCATGTTTAAAAGTATAAAAGCATCAGAGGTTATAAGAAAATTATTTTTAAAGTATAGCGACATCTCTGATTCGTAATTGTTATTGATATGGGAAGAGATGTTACAAATATTTATTTAATTTTTATTTAAAAATTGGGTAAATTACCTATTTGGTAACCTATCTATTACTTAGTTTCTATTTTAGTCACCCTACTTTTTTTTCTTCTTTCAAAATCATATATAACATTATGTTTTGGTCACCCGTCATTAAAAAAAATAACGGTGATGCTAACGTGTCACCATAAGCTAATATCACACCAACAAATGAAAATAATTTAAAAAAATATCACGTCAATGTCGACACTCATTTTTCGTTCGTCTTTTAATATTTCATTATAATTATTATTAATAATATTATTAACTTATTATTTTATTTATTTTGTTTACAAGTTACAACCAAACCAATTGGGGCCTAAACTACAAAAATTAAGCACCAACCTGACCCAATTGGAGCCCCCAATCTGACCCAACAACTTGACCCGACTTAGTTCCAGGCATCACCATACTCTGCCATTTTCAGTTCCCACGTGAAGCATCATGCCCGAGCAACTCACACCCTGCAGTACCCATCACGTGAAACACCACGCCATGCAATACCATCTTCTGCTAATCACCAACAAATTAGCCACCAAAAAAACAAAAACATTACCTACCCTAATCCACTACACTTAATCCTTTCAACCTACTCCAACAAACTAGAGGTGTAAACGAGCCGAACTCGACTTAAACTCGAAAACTTTAAACGTAGACTCGACTCGACTCAAAAACTCGCGAGCTAAAAATTCTAAAACTCAACTCAACTCGAACTCAAAATATATTATTGAAACTCGACTCGAACTCAAAAAGGATCGAACTAAAAAAAATTCAAGAGCTCAATTAAAGCTCTAGACTCGAGCTCGATTGAAGCTCGTTTTTGAGCTCGATTCAAGCTCGTTTTTGAGCTCGATTCAAGCTCGTTTTTGAGCTTGATCCTATAAAAATCTTATATTACATTTAAAATATATAAAAAATTTCCCTTTAATCAACCACCATCAATACATTTTTTTTATCTGATAATATGAACTCATTTAAGAAACTTTATAGAATGCATACAAGAGTAGTTATGGTTGTAGAACATGTTACACATAAGATCAAACATACGCCCACACCAGGCACCCATTTACAATCCTCCCCAAAGCAAAACAACTTTTGCCATAAAAGTAGTGTTTCAAAATTCAAAATACGAAGGCAAATCTTCCATAAAAAACATCCAGCAACAAAATATTCTAATCTACATGTTCATGTACCACAAAACCCAATTCCCTAGTGATGCTTTTCAGTTTTTCCTGGCGTGGGATTTGGAACATTTGGGGCTTCAACCTTCATGCCTGCTTCATCAAGAAGAACAAGAACTTTAAGTAAAAGTAAAAGAAAAAGAGAAGAATGCATCCTTAAAGCCTAAATGCCTAAGCTTAGGCATGGTTAAGTAAATTCGCAATGCCGTATTTGCAAGTTTGATTTTCTGTTAGAGTTAGATTTACAATCAGAGTTGATGATTCTGTCAAATGTCGAGATTTTAGGTAAATCACGTTCAAGACTCGAAAGAAGGGATCTATGTATCTTAAACAGTTAACTATCGTCGATAAAAATTATTCGGTAAACAGAATTTGAACTTTGGAAGCAGTGAAGTAGCTGGATCTGTAGATGAACAAAGAGCGAAAGAAACAAAGTACATGCATGTACGATCAAAGAAAAACGAAACAATTAAAACTCCGATGACTAATGACAATTCAACGAAAACAAAGCACAAAGAAGAAAATCAACCACACCAAGGAATCCAGCATTTCACCAGGAGTATAAGTAGGTCTCAATCAAATGGGCCCAGCTCGGATAATTTTTTCTCCTCCTCCTCCCAATTGATTTTCACTATTTTTTTTAAAGAAAAAAAAAGAACACCATATTACAACTAGCGAGGAAATCTGAGCACAATAGAGTAACAAATAGCAGCAGAAATGAAATCAGATCTGAGACAAAATTGGAGGCAAAATGAACAGATCTAAACAAGGTACGGAAAAAAAAATAGAACGTACCCGCTCTTGCTGGGGGAATCTGTTCTGCTCGGAACCCATTGTTGGTGGAATTTCTTTCTTTTTGTTCTCTTTAGCTCTGAATTAAGATTTTTCTCTTTTTCTTTTTGTTGATATATGAGTAGCAGTAGTACTATACGAAGAGAACATATAGAATAATCAGGAGAAAGATAAATTAAGAGGCGGCTGATGACCCAGAAAATTCCATCATTCATTTACATTTCTTTTTGATTCTTTATTTGTTTCACAACATTAACAAAAAACTCTTCAAACTCTTGAAACATCAATGGGTGTTAAAGAACTTTGTGGTTCACTATACATATCTGAAAATACAAATGATAATATAAATAAAAAATTAAAGGAATATTTATTTAAAGATAAATAAACTCATAAACTCATAAACAAACTCACCCAGAGGAGAAAGGTACTGTTCGGTCGTGGGAGCTTGGGAGGGATACGTGAGCAACGGTTCCCTATACTATGCAAGACATGAAAATTAAATCATAGCAGCTATATCAGTGGGCTTTCTTGTTTGAGTTTTAGGTTTTTGGTTGTTAGTAGAGTTGTTAAGTTTGTTGTGTATTACAGTATGGAGTTATTGTTAAATCTTATGTAATTTCGTATGAGTAATAAAATTTTTAAGGCACTATTTTCTTCCCTCCGCTGATTAAGGAGCTTTCTTTCAAGCTCCATTAATTAAGGTTTTTTTTTAATGAGGCCTGATATTCCTATAAAAAAAAAGCAGCTATAAATAGCCAATACCCAGATATAATACACATTCAAAAACATTTTAGAGCTAAGTAACAACATAGTTGACTACTAAAAACATTCACACTTCCAACAAAATCCGAGAAATGAAAAGGAAAGCAAGATTTAAGATTAAAAAGAAGAATAGACGAGTATAAGTATCTAAAACTAGACGGATCTTAATGAAAACGAAAGAGAAAGGGGCAAACCTGAGGAACCGAGAAAGGCGGCAATAGAAAGAAATGGAGACGAGGAATTCGAGGGCCGGGGAGGAAATGAGGAATTTATAGTCGAGGATGTAACTAGGGTTTTGTTTAATTAACCTAAATTGTTTAATTAATGGTTCTATTAATTAACCAATTAAATAGAATGATTACAGATTTTTTAACACCTCTATATATATATCCCAACATCCAAACACTTCATCGTTCAATCAATTTCATTTAAAATTTCAAAAAATTTGGTAAAACTAGTAATTTTGTATTTAATTTATTATTAATATAATTAGTATATCATATTTTATTCGTTATGATCACTTGATTGTTAAGTATCTAATGTCATTATTAAAATGTTGTATTTCAAGCCTTTTTGTTTTTTATTTTTTTTAATTTTAATATTCTTTTTTATATAATCGATATTATTTTTCAATGTTATTCAAAACCTAAACCCCAAACCCTAAACCATAATCCCTAAACCATAAACCCTATCACATAATTAGAAAGAATGAGATGACTTAGTGAAAGGAGAGAGAGTAGACTTGTTTTTCTTTTGCTTTCTGAAGAACAAAAATCTAATAAGAAACTTCAGTCTTTTTTATTTCTGCTCTTCTTCTCTTCTCACTCTTCTCTTTATTTACTGCTTTGATTTTCCAACTCTGCAATTATTACTTTCTTTTTTATTTCGGAGTAGAATCTAGTAATGCATATATATGTCTTGTTTTACTTTATATGATACAAGTTATTAGTAGGGATGATCATTTTCTCTCAAATATGATTTGATGCCATTAATTTTGTTAATTAAGATATTAATGTAAGTCTAAATGAGTTTTTTCTTTCTTAATTCTTTATAAAATCGGTTACACTCTATTTTGATATATTTTTTAAATTAATAATATTTAAATTGAATCATATTTTATTATATTATATTATATTTATTGTCAAATAAAAAATTAGTTATGAGATAAGTACAATATAATATCTTGATATTAAATGCTCAAACCCTTGATATTTATACCCAAAAACTCAAAATATAACAACAATTTAGAAAATTAGTTATTAAAAATATTATCATTAGAAATATATTAAATATTTGTCATTAGATAAATAATTTTTTTATTAATTTAAAATAAATATAAGAATATTTATTCAAAAATATTTTTTAACCATTTTCAATTTTTCTATTATTTGGCTATTTTTCTTACTTTTTATTTTATTTTTCTACGTTGTCTTTCTTTTAGTAATATTCAATGTAACAATTGGACTTAGGCTGGTTAATTTAAAAAATTAAAATTTGAGGGTAGTTGTATTATAGAATTTTTAATATATTTTTAAAATTTTATAATTATCAATAATGTATTTTTAATAATGTAATTTTAAAAAATCTAAAATTATAATATAATATTTTTTCGAGCTGCTCACGAGCTTTTCGAGTCGAATATCGAGTATCTCGTTTCGGCTCGTTAATAACTCGAGTCGAGCTCGAGTCCATTCGATCCAAGTATTTATCGAGCCTTGATAGAGTCGATCTCAAGTAGCTCGCGATCTGTGTCGTCTCATTTACAACCCTACAACCAACCAATTGAAAAAAAGGGTCATCACATGCAAATAAAGGGGGAAGGATCAACAACGGGGGAAGGGGTAGAAAGAGAAAAAAAACATTCTTCCTCATTAGTGTAAATCCCAATTCGAAATATCGGAGCACATTTGTAAGAGGAGACCCAATCCTCATTTTTTGAGGAGAAGCAATAGAAGGCAAATAACCTTTCTGGTATCTTTCATTTTTTTTCTCAATTTCCAGTATGATCTATGTATGTTTTTATTTCGAAACAAATAGAAAATCGATGTAAGGGATTTTAGACCCCTCCATTCGAAAAGCAACAGACAGAAAAAGAAAAAAAAAACACATCAAGCATTATTTTCATTTTGAATATTTTCGAAGCAACACATAAAGATAGAGCACATTTTCAATAGAACATTTCAAAAGCAAGACATCAATTTTTTTTCTAATTCCCCTAATCGTAAAACCAGAAAATCAAATTTATCTAAAATCAAGAAAATAAGAAAGCAAACGATGGAACCTTTTTTTTAGATCTTTCTAGTTCCGAAATAGTAAAATAAAAAAAAGCATAGAGAGGGAGGGAATAATAGTTTACCTTAGCCTTGAGAGATAGTTAATGGGTTGTGAAGCGAGTAATCGGTTATGGTCGACGTTGGGGATCCTTTGGAGGGCTTGCATGTAGATTATAAGTGTAATTTTAGATATGGGTTTTTTAAATAAAAAGTGTGAAGTCAAAAGAAGGGTTCGGTTTAGCTTACCTCGATGTACCTAGGCCTTCACCGGAGTAAGGAGTTCGGTCTTGTTAGGTGGCCGGAGTGCTGGCTTTGTCCTTTGGTGGAGTTATAATCGAAGAAGAAGATAGGGGGAGTGGCGCCGTTGAGAGTGAAACGAAGAAGAGTAGAGAGAATGGAAAGCGGCTGAGGGTTTTTCTGCATCAGGTTAACCTAGGTTTAGTTTAGTTTAGGTTTTATACTAAATGTTTAGGGTAAACTAGGTTCTAGTCCCCTTAATGTTTAGTGCAATTTATAAAATAATCACATGTAGGACCATTTTCGAATATTACCCTTTTTATTTGTCTCAATATTGTAATTTTACATATTTAATTTTTTGCTTTATTTGTTTGTATTAATTCATATTATACCCCTCTTATTTTAGCGCATAGTTTAATTTTAGTACTTAAATAGAGTCTTTTATATTTTTAATTCAGCCTTTATATTTCATGCGTTTTTCTTTTAAGTCCAGTACTGAGTTATTTTTGTTGCTATATTTTGAATGTAAGTTTCCCCATTTGCATCTTGGCCCATGTTATGTGTTTTTTTTTGCATTTTGCATTAATTATGTTTCTGGCCTACATTTGTAGAAATTTGTGTTTTGGTCCCCATTGAAATTCCACATTACTCTCACGATGCTTTTCATAATTAATACTTAAGTTACAATAACTTGTCTTTGGTCATGTTCATTAATCCACATTTTATGTTGTTTTACTCAATGCGAGTTTTATATAAATATTTATTTTTCAAAATCCTTCATATGTGTATGATGAATAGCTTGTATTTAATGGTATGTAAGCATATATTCTACACCTCGCGAATAACTTTATAATGTGCATTTACAAGTATGTTCATTACATAGGCGTTTCTATATTAAGTAATAGTTATTCATATATCAGTTTTTTTAGTTTCTAAATCATATTTATTAATTTCATGTATAAAACTGCGTACATTTACTTAACTATCAGCGTAGATTAAATTGCATATCTTTTCAATTTCTATGTATAATTATCCTCATGTGTATAACTCGACATTATTATAAAATTGGATTAAGGGTAATACTCTTTTAATTTAAAATTGTTTTAAGTGTGTCGTCTTAACGTATTAGATATCCGCTTTTGACGATTTTAAATTAGAAGTATATCCCATCAGTGACACCTAAAAAAATTGATTTGTCACCTTAAAATTTGGGGAATGGAAGAAAAAGAAATGTTCGGTTATTTAAATTTGTTGAGAAAAGGTCGTTAGAACTCATCAAAGATCTGGTCTCGATATTTTTAAATAATCGAATATTCTTTATCTTTCTCTAATGGCTTGGTAATTTTAATTTAATCTATTTGTGTACTTTTGAACATTGTAAAATTCATATGTTGTTTTTTTTGGGATCATAAATCAAATTAAAAACGAACTTGTAAATTTCATTCAAAAGACATTAATTAATCAATTAAGTACCGATTTAGAGCCCTGTGGGGTGCTAATCCTTCCCCACGCGTAATCGACTCCCGAACTCATTTTTTTGGTAACGCAGACTTCAATTTGTTGTTTTAATTAAAATTAATTTTATTTAAAATGACAAAACGTTTTTTGGGTGCCCAATCACACCCTAATCAAAGATTGGTGGCGACTCCTCGTACCGTATTTTTCTATCATAAAGGAATTTCTAAATTTTCGAAACGATATATTTTTTAAATCACATTACTTTTTAATTAAAAATCAATTAATTAAGAGATAAATTAAAATTGGTGTGGTTTTTAAAATCTCATTCGAAAAAAACCCGTTTCGACAGTCAATAACACCATTAATATTTTAATAGTGGGTGACCAAAGCATAACCAAAATATAACATTAGGTATGATTTTGAAGAAAAAAATTGAGTGATCAAAACAAAAACTAAGTAATAAGTGAAAAATCAAACATATAATTTACCCATAAAATTATATAAATAAATGAAAATATAACAATATTATTATATACTATTTATCATTTTTCTAATTGAATTCGTATTTGATTACCTTGTTACATCAATATAGTTAGCGACTTAGGTAAGGAAAATTATAAAAAAAAAGTTTAATATTTGTTTTGAACATTATATTGATGTCGGAATGGTCCTTAAGTTTTTGGGAATATGGCGGGGATCGATCTAACTTATTCTTGGGAAAGGTTGGGTTTCAAAATAAAACAAATAAATATTTTCGGAGTCGTCATCGACCTTTGGGTTAGGTAGGTCGAATACCTAATAATACATTTTAAAATAATTTTAAGAAAAAATTTTAAAAGATAAAATTGATCCGTGTTTAACCAGAAATTTGTTTTGAAAAGGGTTCGGGAGTCGATTACGAGTAGGGAATGATTAGTATCCTCA